GCTATGACAAAATTACACCCAAAAAAAGTAGCGGTAGTTTTTTACGGAGATTACCAGTACAGCAGTCTGACTATACAAGTGCCGGCGAGAAACGGTGAAGCATTTTCAGGAAGTGCGCGGCGGAACACGCATAAGTTATCTCGCGGTCGGGAAAAGGACAAGCCCTTGAACTCGGTGAAGGGGAAGGGGAGGTGGGGGGGGGGACACACGCCGACACACGAATGCCATCCTTGGGCATACCCAGCCGTATGAGAATGAAATGTCAGGTACGCACCGGGCCACGCCACGCCGCACCGCCGCCGCCCCGCCAGGCCACGCCCCGTGGCCACCGCGCACTAGACAAACACGGTTTGTGCATTAGCAGTAGGGAGCGGCCCCCTCGGGACTAATTAGAACTAGAGACGACGCTAGAGAGCTAGTTAGATCGAAATCTTCTAATACGCCGCGGCGGCGCTGCTCATGCGAAATCGAAAAGCTCCGCGCGGGGCGGCGGGGGAAATTATTTTACTTTCTGCGTGCGCCGCGATCATTACGCAAGGACGGCGATCATTGATGAGGATCATGACGATTATCTGATCGGAATCAAAGAGTTGCGGTAGGTCAGGGCACTACTACTTCGCCCCAGTTTATTCTCTAGCCGCCGTGTTGGCCGGCTAAGCTCTCGTATTGGTTATCTCTGCCTCGAATAGAAATAATGATAATCGCAGGCAAAACAGACGACGATAAGAAGAAAATTTTCATAACGACGCACGTAATTTTTTTCAATTAGACAGTTTTTACATCATATGCGATGCTAAGCGGCTCAAATACATTTAACAACCCCAGAGCACGAAAGCAAAGCTGCTTTCCTTCCCACTTTAGATGTTCTACTTTGCAACATGATTAATCGAAACGACACCGAGGCAAAGTCGATCCTTTACGACGAAAATCGCATCGATTTAACATGGTACCGATATCATTCTCTCGCCGGGTGTAACACTTCGGGCTTTCTCGCTCCCGACGAACCTGATCGATCAGTCCGCCACACATCACACACCCACCAGCGAGGACTCGCCATCAAGTCGACTGCCATCGATCCATCGCCCGCGTTTCATTTCCTGAACGCTTCATTCGCAAGAAGGAACTTTTTTTCTCAATAGGTGTCGTTCTACGTGATATATTTTTTTTTTCTTTAAATATGCCATCCTTAGAAAAATGAGGAGGAGGAGTGGAAGGCAGCTCAAGAACGGGTCGCCATGCATGAGCAGCTCATTCCCGCTTATCGACGTGACTATGAGTGTCTGCTCACACACACGTACGTACACTCGCACTCACGCACGCACACAGACGCACACTCACGCACGCACACGCACACACACACACACGCACGCGCAAGGTAGGGGCGGTGGGGCCAAATGGTTCCAGTAGCTGCTAGAGATAAGGCACATACAGAACAGGTCGGCGGCGGGTCCGCCTCGTCCCGACCACATCAGCCCGTCCCGTGAGTGACATCCGCACGACACCCTCTCCATCACGCGCACGCGGCCGCGACGCGCCCGGAGCCACGCATCTCGGCACCGCCGCGCCCGGAGATACGTCGACGAGTCACCCGCAGGGCTCATTACCGACCACCACGGCCACCGGCCGAGGGGCCGCCACCTCAACCGCCACCTCCCGTGCTGCTCGCATCATGCAGTGAACTTGACCAACTCAACGCCATTTTTCTCTCCGTCAAAGGACACTACTTCTCCAGCCATCACTACCATTTCGTCCTTGGGTGTCGTTGAGTCCGCGTGGGGGTTAAAAAAACTGTTTGTAATGGTTGTATTTGATATTTTTTTACCCCTCATATTAACATTTTTTATTTGCTCTTAGTCTTAACTCGCTGTGGACATCATCATAAGGTTGTAGTGGTCCCCAAAGAACTCCCGTTTTTTTCCGCTCCTTTTTTTTTACGATCACACGTCAATTTATATCCCTCTCTTCTTGCAACAAAAATGATACTAAAAGGCCCCCGCGAGCGGGAGTTAAGTAGAGTGCCGTCCAGGCGGCCCCCTGCTCCCGCCTCGCTTTCCTTCCCTGGAACCATCAAATGAGGGGCGCGTCCCACGCAGCAAAGCTATGTGATTTTATAATTTCCTCCCGCCATTCGACTGCTTTTGCAGCCCGCGCGCGCGCGGTTCAGCAGAAAAGGCGAGGGAGGAGCGGGAGCAAGGAGCAGAAAGTGGGAGCGGGAGCAGGAGCTACGCCACTGGCGAGCTGGCGGCAGCGGCTCCTCCCGCTGCTCTCAGAAAACTACTACTGAATGGTCGCGGTGTCATTAGTAGTTCTCGAACCCGTCCCCAAGGATGGATGGGGCCTGCGTGCCGCGGCGCGCGGGAGTAGGGGGGGGGGGGGGGGGGCAACCTGTTAACGGTTGGGCCGGCTCCCATGGGCACACACAATCAGCTGGTCCCTCCCTCTCTCTCTCTCTCTCTCTCTCCTTTACGCTTGTCTGCTCCGCATTCCGCATTCGTTTTTTGAAGGCGAGATGAATATCGGGACCATTTCTCGTGTCGGGGTTCTCAGGTTCGCGCTGCCGGGAGGAGGGAAGAACATCTTATTAGGCGGGGGGGAAGCGCACACTGCTGACGCTAATCCGATTTCGTTTGTGAAGTGTTGCTGTCAGCTGGCGGCGCGGCAGCACAGCGGTCAGGCTGGTCAGGCCTGCTAGCTGCTCTGCAGACCGATCATTCGATCATCCATCTTTGGGCCCTCGCGTCTCGGACACTCCAGCAGCGTCAGCCTCTGTGGCGGCCTCAGCCCCGCCGTATCCGTCCGCGCGCGGATATTCAGCGGGAGTGCGTGTGTTGTATGCTCTGGGCGGCGCCGGGGGTGGTGTCCCGTGAGCGGCGGTGGCCGGCGGCGAGCCCGGGAGCACCACCGCGGCGGGCACGGCCCGCACGGCCGGACCAGGCAGCCTCACCGCCTCACCACCGCGGTGCGCCGGGACCGGCTCACCACCGCCGCGCGGTGCGACTCCAGCAGAGCGGCGGCGGCGCGCAACGTTCTGCCAATTTAATGGGCCATATTTGGTGGGCTTGTGCTGTCGGACAACGCCGGGCTGGGCAAGCAGCCCATCCGTGGAAAACCGCCCCGCCCCGCTCTTCGCCTCGCCCCGCCACGCCCCACCATGCCCCGCCACGCCCGGTGGCTGCAGCAGAGAGCAGCAGAAGCATCCACCCCGGAGGCTGCACCGCCGTCGCCGCTGGGCCTTGTACCCCCGTGCAACCCCCGACCCTCTCCCCATCCAGCCTATCTTTTTCGCTCCAATTCCATCAACCACGCGGTGTCCAGTGTCCAGTCGTTATACACCACACGAACGACACGATTTTTATTACGACTCGCCCAGCTGTAACGTGTTTTATGATCAGAAGCAAGTGTATCTCCCCGCGAGACCGAAAAAGAAAAATAATAAAAATAAAAACTACTGGTGGGTCCCTCCGGGTCCCCCTGCGCTGCCGCCGCCGTCGTCGCCACCGCTCGCCTCGTAGATCCCCGCTTTTTGGCGTGGAACAGGTAAACTAGTTTAGCTCATCCGGCCGGGTCGGGTGGGCGCGCGGGGCCCCGGACGCGACGTGTCGGCCGAGGCAGTTTGGGGGACAGTGAATGTCGCCGACAATCGCCGATAAATTGGTATCATCCGCGCCGATCAACCGTCTATCGCGAGCGAGGCGACACCGAATTTCATTAAATTAACGGGCCAGCGGTTTACTGCTTCGCCGGGGCTGCCGCTGCTGATTGATTAATATGCAAAGTTATTCCGCGGTGGGGTGGGGAGGAGGGGCTGCGCGGTGCAGCGTAATATTCCCCCAATGCCTTGCACGCCCTACATTCCGCGCGTCGCTAACAAATCGACTTGATTCGATGAGTGAGGAATATTTACGCGAGTAAAACGGCTGCTACGCCCCGCGCGTTGATTGATTGATCGACCGTTTGATTGATTGATTGATATTGTATTGGGGGGGGAAGGGAATCGATATGGGCAGGACGTGAATGTCTTCGTTAATTAGTAAGGAAGAAGGTGGCCAGCAATGCGACGTCCACCGCAGCGCCACGCGTCGCCGTGTAGGTGTAAGTGGACCTCGGGCGAACCTTAGGCGACGCACAGAGAGATCGAAAAAAGATCGGGGTCCAAGTGGGGAGTTCAGAGGGGGCGTCAGGTGGTAGGTGGGAAAAGTTCAGGGGAAGGGAAGTTCAGAAAGGGGGGGGGGGATACGATGGGAATGGGAAGGTTACACAAGGGGGAGGGTTCGACGGGGAGGGTTCGAAGGGGAGGGTTCGAAGGGGAGGGTTCAAAGGGGAGGGTTCAAAGGGGAGGGTTCGAAGGGGAGAGTTCAAGGGTCAGTCCAGGGTGTGGGTGTGGGGGTGCAGGCAGCTGTGTGAAGCTCGGGTGCGGCCACGCGTCGCACCAAACCAACGCGCCCGGGTCGCATCCCATCGCCTGTCACCCTCGCGTTGGCTCCCGGAGAAGTTCAGAGAGGTTAACTGAATCACCCACGAGCGCACGACACTCGCGCGCCCGCTCGCATGACCCCTCCCTCCAGCCAGCACTTATGGTTTTATCGGCGCGCCATGATTCGCCGCGCCCTGTCGGCACTTTTTCTCAAACGGCAACGGCGACACGGCAGACCCCGCGCCGCGCCCCTCCGCACGCACGCGGCACCGCCCGCCGGCCCACCCCGGCCCCCCGCCGCGTCGCGACCCGGCTACGAGGGGCCTCAGAGAGCAAGCTGGCGCGGGGTCTCGTAGTGGCCGACCAGTGCATGGCTAGGTAATACACACTGGTGAAAAGCAAAAAGGGCGTACGTCCAAAGAAAAGTAAGTAAAGGAAGATGGACCATGATATCGGTCGGGGTACTCACATCGCACTCCAGTACTGCACCAGCTTCCACCGGAGAATGTGCGAGTGTTGGGTTCTCGATGACACTCGACGGTGGGATGGGGAGCCAGGAAGGAGTCGATTGACAGACATCATCATGCACATTTCATATGTGGTCCTGCCATGGAAAAACACTTTATTGTTTAAAATTCATCATTTCTGGTTCTGTTTACATACTAAATACATACTTTAAAAAAGATGACTCATAGAAGTTTCATGTGAAAGATATTACTACCAGGCACAACATTTTTCTCAGGCACATACATGAATGATTTATTGTAATTTAAATGCAGTTGGAATCAAGCCAAACACGATGTCAAATTGTAAAGGAAACATAACTTATAATTAGCGTATTCTGTAAAATAGTAAAAATAATCTTTAGCAAAAAGTAACAGGAAAAATTAACTCTGCGGGTAGAAGTTGATTCAATATTTCTATTTAGTCACACGACTCCTTTACAGCGTTGTAACTTTACTATCACATCAGCCCACATTACCAAAAACAAAGAAATTGATGTGGTGCAAAAAGAGCGAACGAGCAACAGACAAGGATCAAGTTTCCCAAGCCATTAAAAATTTCAATAAATTCAAAACTTAAGTTGCTGTTTAGGATGTTATGCCTATCACATTATGCTGTCTTGTGTGGGGCCTGTAAAAGAGTAGAACAAAAAAGTTAATAACGATGATTGTGCCACAAGTGGTTCAGAGAGTCTACCCTATGAGGCCTGAGCTACACAACAGAAAAGAGAACACTGACATGGAGACAAAATCAAATGGAGAATTCTCACCTGCTTCACAGCTCAGAACAAATGGCGTTCAAAAGGGTTCAGTCATGATCTGGCCGATCCTTCTGCCTTTCTTCTTTGAAGTAAACTTCTCTATTTACAACTGATGCATTGAGCCTTTCCAACTCAACACTTTCGGTGAGGGAGGACACCAGTTGGGCTTCCCCTTCATGGTAGCTTTTGCTTCGATTATTTTCTGCTTCTCGTTGCTCATATTCTCGTTTCCGTTGTTCTGTAATCCGAATACGGAAAACTCGGAGGTTAGGTCAGAACTATCTGTGTACCTATCTTAGCAATTTTCTATTTTCCCACACTAACCTTGTCTTCTTTTTTGGCCATGCGCAGTTGATCGAGGCATTTTCCCGCCAGTTAGCACATACTGTTTGTAGGGGCCTCGCACTCGCGATCGCGTCGGAAGTTGGCTTTTCACCTGTTCGGACGTAGACGTAGGCTGTTCCATTGTTCATCAACTAGGGCTGCAACACCATCCAACGAAACAAACCGAGACGAAGAGGACCACAGACACGGAGGTTATGGGCGGATGCTGTCTCGGGTCTCGGTGCCAAACACGAAGAAGCTGGTATGAGAAATTGCGGCTTATCGAGTTTTCATGCTAAAACCAACGACAAGCACTGCACCCGAAGGTAACCTTGCGCACTGAGCAGGCAAAAATTTGCTAAATGTACGTCGCCCCTTTCACTAAGCATCGGGTCGGTTTTGCTACAGATCGGGATCGGGGACCTGCACGCGCGGTGGCGCGAGAGCTTGTGCCAGTTGGGTTGCCTACGCGGGCGATCGCAGGCGGACCCCGGGCCGGCTGGGCGCGAGCGTCACGTCATGGGCGGGCACGGCGGCTGCGGGCGGCGGCCGGGGCCGAGTGCGGCACTTCCTACTACAGGTCGCTATCCTCGCCACCCCCTCACTATGGCTGGCTGGCCCGCACTCCGTCTAGGAAAAGGAACGGAGGCTATTGTGTCGGCGGCGCTGCGCTTTACACGTCTCTGCTCGAGCCGCACATGGGCGGTCTGCGCTGTGATCTGTTGAGAAGACAGCCCCCGAGGCACCTGCTCACATCGGCGAATGAAAAGATTGCATTTTCTCTCCGCTTAAACACTATTTGTTTTTGCAGACCCCCCGCCCCGCGGGGGAAGGGGGGTATGTACCTCCCTCCACACTCGACTTGTATCTTACAAACATAATAAGTGGAGTCTATTGCCTACGAGGAGGAAGCTTTTAATCAGAATTTAATTACCATCGCAGCATGGGTACATCGCAAGGGCGCGCTACCCCCACCGCTCTGACAATCAATCAGTCAGCGCCTCTCATTCTTCCCCTCTCTCCCTCTTTCTTTCGTAAGCGGCGCACTTCGCCGTCTCTTTCTCTCTGCAGACGCGCACGACCGTCGCAACTCACCCTCGACTCCCTGGCAGATACGTCCGACCGGGGCGAGGACACTCCGGCACTAGAGCAGACAAGGGCCGACAGGGACGACATGTCCTCCGAATGGGAGATCTATTAGTTCTTCGCAGCGCCACTCTACGTTTAATCTAGAGCATTTCGAGGACTAAAATTTAAAATCCTGCTATGACCCGAACGCGAGGAGTGCGGGCGTGGGGAGGGGGAGGGGGTGGCCGTTTCAAAAGCCCTCAACCTATAATCATAGCACGAAATTGAATAGCAGCAGAACACCAAACTTTGAACTAAACTTAATGGAGGTTAGGCTTTTTGCACCATCCGCTTCGTGACCACCAAAGTTGGTCACTCACCCGCGCCGCGCAGAGCAGCCACCACCAGATGACCAGGGCGCGTCGTCGCCCACCCTATAAGGTGCCCGTCGACGCCCCCCCAGCGGTCGAAGCAGAGCGAGGGCACCGGTCGGGGCACCGCGGCCACCGCGGCGGGCACGCACTGTGAGTGGCATTGTGATCTCGATACGGACCCCGCGGGGGCAGGGCGTGGCGTGGCGGGCACACTGCCGCGCTCTGCGCCGCTCTGCGCCGCCGTCGGGTCGAGCCTGGCGCGGAAGAGGCCTCCCGCAGTAAACGCTTGATTAATGAATATGACTTCGCAAGCCGACAGGTCGCCATGGGACGGCTACACCTTCTACACCTGCAGCACAAGGCTGCTGCTGCTGCAGCTGCCGCTGCCGCAGCTGCGAGCCCCGCGCGCGCGCTCTGGCACGGCGCAGCTGCGGAGGGTGGCTATGGGAAAGCGACAGCGCGGCGGAGGCTGAACCCCGCTGCGTCGTCGGTCATGTGACACCGCGTGACTCCGCGTGACACATTGTGACGACCCGCCTCTCTCCACTCACACACTCTCGTCGACGTCGTGTGGCCTTAAAATTCGACCGCTAGTTACTTTGTTAGTTTGTCGACAAATTATTTCGTCCACAATAAATCACAATCTGCGTGGTGGTCGCGGTTGCAGTCGAGGAAGCATAGTTGGGGGGCGGCTACGGGCCGGTCGTGTAGTCGTTTCGTTCCGTGACGCAACCACGGTCTCGGGTTCAAATCCCTCCGGTGGCGCGGGGCGGGTGCGGCCGACAGGGCTGTGCGTCGTGCGCCGCGCGGCCGCTGCACTCGGCCTGCTGTGTGTCGGGCCGGGGCGGATAGGGTCAGGTCGCGGCCGCGCGGCGCTCCGAAACATTGGCGGAGTCGTGTCTGTCACATTTGTCATGATAAGCCGCGACGCCGGAGCCCGGGTCCAGCTGTCTGCCGAGCAGCACCGCCGCGCCGTGGTACAGCCCGGGCCCCGCGGTGGTGGTGTGTTGTGTTGCGTGCGGGGGCCAGGACCGCGGAGATAGACATACCAGTTTGTCTAAGACTTGAGTGGAAAACGAACAAGCGCTCTGATTTAGCTGTTTTTCGTCGAGCTGAAAAAACTGTCATGTCGTCGCGTGTGTATGGACCTTCTTGAAATATGGGGCACACGACGTAGAAGCCTCCTTGACAGCTCGGTCTTGTTCGAGTTCGACCACACTAGCACTATTCGGGAACATATGAAAATCTGCGAATTGAAACGTTTCGTTTCTGACTGAACTGGCACATTAACACAACAACCCCCCACCCCCACCCCATCTTAACGTAACATTTTGATAAGCGCTTGTAAATTTAAAGTGTGATGACCTGCGGTGACATTTTCTGTTGCCTTTACCCCTCTCGACCCTTCCCCTGTCTGGACTGCCCGGGCCTGCCTCCTCATCCACGAGGGATGGCTCCATTGCGTGCGGCTCTCTCTTTGTGTCGGGTGGGCAGCCATTGTTGTTTTAATAATCTCTTTATAACGCCGGTGACCCCAGCGGTCATGTGCAAGTCAGCAGCCAATATCCAAATCACGATCGTAGGAGCTGTGCAGCGAAGGGGAGAGGGGGGGGGGAGGAGATATCGAACACACACGGAGTTACGCCAGTCCAGAAGGGCCATGACTGAGCGGTTTGAAAAACGCTAGTAATCGAACAGGAGCAGAGATAAGACTTGAAAAAAAATCAAAGAGCGTTCTGCAGATTACCTTTCTCTATAAAATATCGCACGAAACATTAAGCTAGCAGGCATTATTATTAATATATTGGCAGTTGTAGGTGTTGGCCAGGGGCGTACTGGCCCGGCGGGGAACCGGGGAAACCCCCCCCCCCCCCTAAGGGGCCCGCAGTTTGTGTACGTGGAGGATGAGGAGACAAAG